TCTCGATCGTGATTTTGGATAGCTTCCTAGATCGCGATCCTCAACCACCTTCTCAATCGTTGTCATACCCCGGTCCTGAATCGCCGTTCACATGCGATGTATGTCCGCTGCCATACCTTGGTCCTGGATCGCCGTTCCCCGCGATCTCTGTCCGCTGCCTCTCCATGGTCCGGGATCGCCGTTCGCCTGCAATCTCTGCCCACTACCATTACTTGATCCTTGATGTCTCGAACCGGGGCACGACAGAGGCGTGTCGCCATCCATCACTCCAGTGGTTAATCTTGGGCCATCCGGAGTCAACGCCACTCACCACCGTTGTCGCACGCTCGATCTTGGGCAGGTGACCCGAAGTCCTGACCGGGGTGGGATTCCTGTCGCCTGGTCCGTCTCTATCTCGCGATCTGGCAGCCGAGGTTGCCTTTCTCGTGAGATCTTATTCGCACTTCACCTCATCCGCCCTAAGCCTGCAAGTTGGACCGTCACGGTTCACTTCAGGTCTCAATCCGCCATTTTCCGACTCGCGCGCACTGCTCCAACGTCTTCGGGATGGCCGAACGCCATGCGCCAACAAGGCAGCGCGCAAGCACCCCTGTACCGACCCCGTCCGACTCTCCCATGTCGACGGGTAACCATCGGTCACGTCACTCCAACATCTCGCGTAGCTCACACTCCCACACCTCCGACCCTGACCGGCGATTAGCAGCCTTGGAGGCTGAGCTTCGCCAGGGCAACCTCGCGAGAGATCACCTCGTCCGAGTTCGGGATCATCTGGATCTGCAAGTGCGCCAGCTACGGGCCGCCATCCGGAGCATGGAGACGTTCCAACACGGGCAGCGCGACGAGATCTCCCGTCTGGCGGCCGAGATCACCCACCTCGCATGCGACGCCGAAGACGATCCTGACGGTCTACGTACCCAAGTTCATCAGCTTCGCGCGGAACGGAACGACTTTGAGCGCCGTGTGGGGTCCACCCGTGAGGATCTGTGTGTCGCCGAGGAGGAACGCGATCGTCTGTGCCAGGAGGCGGTTCAGACCGGGGACGCGATCCGGGATTTGCAGGACCAAGTTCGCGACCTGGACGCGAGATTCGAGTCTGCCACGACGCTGGCCAGTTACAACCGGGTCACCACAGATCTCTCTTGACTCCAACCCGATCGCGGGGTGTGCTCACCTCTCGGAGATTCCGCTCGATTAGTTCAGGCAGCCCGGGATCGCGCATTGGCTGATCTCAGCGTGAGCTCGACCCTGACGCAGGTCACCTCTGATCGCAATCGAGCCTTCACACAACTCGCTCAGGCCGGAGAAGACCCAGATAGAGCCCTCGCGGATCGCGACACCCCCCCCCCAGAGGCGAGATCAGGCGATCGTGGATCGTGATCAGCCCCGCTTAGACCTCCTCACCGAAGCTGCCCGGGTCGTCCAGCTGGCTAAGTACACTTCCTTATCTGGCCTTTTGTGATCTCCCTCTAATGCTTGTTCCATACAGATGACGACATCGAGGTAGTTCGCTTGGAGCTTCAAGGATTGGAAAGCCAGATGGGGGATCTCGAGCAGGCCTACGATCAGCTCAACGAACTGCGCGATCTGGTCGAAGGCGGTCTGTCTGAGGCTGACCAGCTCCGGACAGCAGGATTCGGCTGAGCCAAGCGGCCGAATGGACAAACGCGATTGGAGTCCGCCCAGTTCTCCTACCCAGTCGCCTCCTCTCAAAAAACCCCGCGGTAATCCTCGCATTTCTCCACTTAGCGACCAGGGTAACTCCGAGATCGAGGAGGCCGACGGTGGGGACAACGCCGATCACGAGGAACTTAAGGACAAGGCCGAGATCCCGAGCGGCGACGGCGACGGTCGTAGCGATAGCGACTCTCCTCATCGGCAGGATATATCGCATCCCTCTACGCCCCTCGCGGCGAGCTCACGTCCCTCAGGGAACGGAGCTGAGACTCCTCCTCCCTCACCTCATGGATATCCCGGAGGGGATCTCCCACTGGAGGTTCTCCGGGGGAGGTTCGTCCGGAGCAGTTCCTCCGGTGGACGCTCTCCCCTTCAGCTAATTTCGTCGTTGTTTCTCCTCGGATCGTGTGTTCCGAGCCATTCCACGGTTCGGGTGTTCACGGCTGCCGAAATCTTCTCGTGTGATCCAACCTTCGTGGAGTCCGTACCGATCACAGCTTTGATCCCAGCCACTTTGACCAAGAGGTTACCGATATCCTCCGGGTTCTTGTTTCCTGCACGAACGCCAGCTGTTCGACCTCCCATACCGAGGACCGGTTATCGATTCGAGATGATCACGGGTACGAACATCTTGGTTCTGCTGGCGACCCATCCGTGACTTGTACTCTGGAATCGTCCCGTTCCCCTGACGTTCGATAGTCAGTTGCACCTCCGTGCCAACTACCCTCTATGAAGGATCGCCGTGTCATACGCGGTCCTGGAGGCGGATCACCTGCAGGCGTACTGAGAAGCGCCTTATTCTCGAGATCACGAAGGCTATGTGCGCCTCGGACCTGGTTCTCCTGCAATACCACCACGATCGACGCCAGCGACGTATCTGGGTTGGCGATCGCTGGCGCAAACTGCTGGCTGCGTGTTTCCCAATGATGCAGCATCTTTGGCCGACATCGATCTCCTACTAGATCCTTTTTTTCTCCATTTGCCCACTACCCAAGCTCGAGTACGCAGGTATCTCGGATCCGTCTGCCGAGCAGCGAATCTCGCCCAGCCGACCGCGAACCTCTCCGAGCAGACAGATCTTTTTACCGCCGTGTTTGCGTATGATCAGGCCGATCCCTGGCGAAACCATTGTCGCGATCATCCGCCGATCACCCGTCGCATGCTGCGTCACGTGAACAAGTTCAATCCTCCTGCGGCTCCGACACCCCCTTAGTTCGAGGATCCGGTCTTTCCGAGGGCAACACCCGCGATCACCGCTTGCCATCCCAAGATCTCGATTTCGTCCTCTCTGCTCCGTCATTAACCAATATCAGCAGCATTGGCGTTTGCTTGCCTTTCCGATGCGCCTACGGGGTGATCCATCTTCGCGCTCGCTATGTCTTCCATGATCTCCCCGTGAGGCCCGAATTCCTTTTCTATATGCACGTATATAACATATATTCCTGATCGCAGTCTTTTCACTGACTTGCATTCCGTCTAGGTCGATACGATCAGGTAGTCACACCTCATCCTTCCTCACATCTCTTCATGCGACTGCATTACGTTGAATCCGTTGCGATTGACCCGTTCTCGCAAAACAGCGTTCAGTATTGCGACGCAGTTGAGATTCGCCTCGTCGACCCAGGTGGGTCCATCGTAACCTACCCAATGTACCAAAAATGCTCGCAGGACCCGACCGAATCACGTCTTCTTTCCACTCCGCACGTCCGAGATCCGTTCAACCTCGTATTCTCCGGCTCCGAGATCTGGGACCCAACTATCGCCCGAAAGCAAGACCTCGTCAAAGTCGAGGCGATCCGATTCGTTCACAGTGGGTTCGACTCGAGGTCGATCCGGGAAGTTCCTTACCAATTTTAGCTCCGATACATGAACTACCAGGAAGATATTGTATCCCGTGCCTGTGATCTTGAGTTTGATGGTGAATTCATTGATCTTCTCGGCGACCCGGAATGGCCCGTGCCAGAGGTGAGCCAATTTGCGAGCGTATCCCTCTCTTACTCGGTCCATGTATAAGCAAACCCGAGATCCCGCCTCGATCTGGTGTGATCCAACGTCCTCATTATGCCGACTGGCGCGAGCTGCAATGGCTTCTCGCATTCTGGCGTTAACTTGTTCCCGTGACTGCTGATAATGCCGTTGGACCCGATAACACCACTGTCGTGGACCCCGGTCGCGCCATCGGGTGCGACCGACTGGGATAGTGGCCTCCAGCGTTGATCTCGGGATCCCAGATAATGAGGGGTATCTCCTCGAATCCGATCGTGGGGCGTGTTGATCGCGAAGGTGAGGCGTTCAACGTACTCATCCCATCTAATCTAACGTACATCTTGAGTGCCCTGGTCGCTGTCTGTACCATTCGTTCCGTGGTCCCGTTGGCTTGAGGTCGATGTCGCCCGCTGTCGTTGTCCCAGGATTTTATTGAACGATCAGAAGAAGTCGGACATGAACCCGGGTTCTCGATCGTGTCTGATCATCTCGCTAGCACGGAATCGCGAGAGCCACATTTTCGTAGATTCTGCGACCGTCTGGGCCGATCAGGACGAGCTAGCCTTCGCTATCACGTATCCCGTGAATAAATCGACCCAGATCAACAGCTCGGTGTTCTCTTTGTTTGATCTGGGCAGCGACGGTATATGATCCATCGCAATGATCTGGAACGGATACGTTGTTTGCAGATTTCCTGGTGATTCTCCTTGGATATTGGGCCTACCTCTACCAGTTTCGCAATCCACGCATTCTCCCACACATCTCCGAACACTCCGGTATAATCCCCTCCAGTGAAAGTGATCTCGGATCCGCTAGTAGGTACGGCCTACTCCGTGATGCCCGCCCTCTAACGTGGTATGATAGTGGTGCAGGACGTCCGATTGCGACGTTTCGGGTACTACCAGTCTCAGCAACCGATAGCGATCCCCCATCTCGGCGTGGGAGCGCAGTAAAAAGTAGAACTTGTTCGTCCACCATGTAGTCGGCCGCGATCTTGCCGTACAATCTAGCTTCAGCTTGTGTGAGGTCGGCGATTGAGCCACTCAGATACTTCTTCATGCCTGTGATCCAGACCTCCTCCTCCTGAACCTGCCTGACACGATTGACCCGCAGATCCTCTTGCATGACTCCCGCAGGGGACCTCACTCGGGCAGCTCGTGTGGTGACCGCTGCAACTCGCACCACTGGATTCTCGGTCTTGTGAATAAGAATCTCGTCCAGCCGATTCAGGGTAACCTGATCTTGGTGTTTAGGACCAACCTGGACCTCGATCCCGCCTTGCTGTTGCAAAGCCTCACTCGCTAGACTGTCGGCACTCCCATTCCAGGCTCTCTTCACATGTACTAGCTCATGATCACTCCATTTCCTCAGGCGATCGAGGGTCCTCCGCTCCAATAGCGTCAGCCCGGGTGTCTTGCAATCGATCTCGCCCCGTACTTGCCGGATCACTGGGTTAGAATCTCCGCAGATCACTAGGTGCTTACGATCCAGGTCCGCTAGCATATCGAGTCCCAACAGGAGACTGTTGTACTCTGCTTCGTTCACTGTGAGATTCTCGAGATAGCGTGATCTGGACTTGACCATCTTCCATCCGGGAAGACTCCACACGATCGTGCGGAACGCGCCCCCACCTCACTTCACTCGAGCGGATCCGTCAAAGCTAATCATCCATAATTCCTCCACTCAATCCACGGTGGGTATCGGCGCTTGGGTCCGATGTTTAGGTTCCTTCCGAGGCGCGATAGCGGATAAGCCGTCGTCGATCTTTGACCTCGGCGTGATGCTGGCAGCGATCACCCCAGTATCTGGTCTTCTCCTTTCGTGCATCTCGTGATCTCAAGAGTCCACGGAGCCAAGAGGGCAGACCATTGTCCTAGACGACTTTGTAATCCCGCCGACTTGAACAGCCAGGCCAGCGTGGAATGCCTCGTCAGGACCTGAATCTCACGTCCCACCAATAAATTGTAGTAGAGGTCCAAGATCCTCAGCAATGCCAACACTTCCTTTTCTGTCACATTGTAGTTCGGCTTGTTTGGATTTAGCGTGCGGCTGGCGAACGCAACAGGATGGTAGATCCCATCGTGTTCTTGCATCAGCGAAGCGAAAATCGCCCAATCACTGGCATATACAATCACTACCGGCATTCTCGTATCGTCGGAGTGGCGGAGGATCGGCGTCGCCGCGATCTTGGTCTTCAGGGTTGGGAAAGCCTTATGAGTCCTGATCCACCTCTCATCTAATGGTTCCGCAGGCGGGAGTTCCGGTGGGTCATTATTCCGCGTGATAGGGTCATTCTGGTCCATGATCTTCCTCAGATCCGATGGTTTCTCCAGTTCCGCAAGTTCCACCTCGCGTAGCTCATATAGAACTTAGGCGTATATAGCGTAGTTCTTAATAAATCGGCTGTAATAGTTCAGACTACCCATGAACGACTGCATGGATCGAAGTGATCCGGAGAATGGCAGATCGTCAGAGATTTTAGATCTTTCGGTTCGCCGCTAGACCTTCGATCGACACTCGGTGTCCCAGGTATCCTACCTTATTCATGCTCCAGAAGCTCTTTATCACACTGATCGATAAATTCCA